TGGACGAAACAAGATAATATTTCTTTTAAGTTTTTCAGTGAATCTTTAGATAATAAAAAAAATTAACTTTTATCATATATAAAAATGAATAAATTTTTAATTTACTCAATAAAAAAAGATAAATTTATTTAATTTTTTATTTAAAAGTTAATTCAAGTTGATCTGATTCAATATAAAAATAAAGTTATTATTATTATAGTTTTAAGACTCAACTTGATATTTGATCTATGACAAGAACAAAGTTATAAGTCAAGTTAATCATTGATCCAGGTCAACATAAGAATAAAAATAATAATAATAATAATAATTATTATTATTATTATTATTATTATTTTAGTTTTACAACTTGACTTGAAGGTCGATTTTGGGCAAGACCCGAGTCATAAGCTGAGTTTACCATTAACCTAAGATAATGTAAGAATAAAAATAAATATTAGTATAGTTTTAAAACCCGACTAGGAAGGTAACCCAAGACAAAGCTTAAGTTATGGGTTAGATTAACCATTGACTAAGATCAACATATATAAAAGTAATTATTATCATAATTTTAAAACTCAACTTGGGAGTTGACAAAAGGTAAGGCCTAGGTCACGAGCCGAGTTAACCATTGACTTGGACCAGCTTAAGGATTATTAATATAATTTTAAAACCTAACTTAGGGATCAAATCAAGGCAAGGTTTGAGTTACAATTTGGGTTAATCGTTGACCTAGATCAACATAAAAATAAAAATTGTTATTATTATAATTTTCAAACCTAATTTAGGGTTTGACTTAAGGTCAGACTTAGGTCATGAGTTGAATTGATTATTGATTAGGATCAACATAAGGATAAAAATAATTATTATCATAATTTTTAAACCCAACTTGGAGTTAAACCCCAAGCAAGACTTAGGTTATGGTTTGATAGGGTCAACATATGTTGATCCAAGTCAACTATGGATAAAAGTTGTTATTATAGCAATTTTAAAACCCTATTCAGAAGTCGACCAGAGATAAAACCCAAGTTATAGATTGGAAGATTCAATATAAATTGACTCAAATAAAAAAAATCAAAGCAAACTTATTTTGACAAAAAAATAAATGAATTTTTACATGTGTTTTATCTTGAGTTTTTTTTATCGAGCTAGGTTAGATCATTTTTTTTTATTAAGTCTGGACTAGTTCTAATCCCAGGTTAGGTCTGGACTAGTTCTAATCCTAGGTTAATCGTGTCTTGTTTAGTGTCTACTAGATACAAAATAAAATAAATCATCTAGTTTAGTCCAATGTATACTAAACATAAAAAAAAAATATTTATTATATCTAGTTCAATTGAATTAATATTGTTCATCATCCTAGACATCAAGGATAATAGAGTATAAAAATTCAATACCTTAATTATAATGTCATGATTGCCTTTTGCTAGTGGTAAGATAAATTATGAGAACATCTATCTGTTATCCAATCAAATAAAAAATTAAATTCTTTTTATTTTGTATAAAAAAAAAAAGTGGAGCTGTCGCCTGAC